AGCCGAAGCAAAGAAGCTGGTGACCTTGACTTTGTCAACGAAGGCTCGGTTCACTCAGATTCAGAAGGCCTGGCCCGACCATGCTGTGTTGGAGGACGTCGTCCAGTGTTGCAGAGAGATTCTCCAATTCAAACATACTGAGCCTGTTGCCAAGTTCATTACCAAGGTTGAAAAGCTTCATGCACTTGTTCATGAATGGCAGCTCGTAGCGAGCAGAGAATATTCGGCTGCGTCTGTGTATGAGGAGATCACCGCATTGATCATCAGCTGGCGACGACTTGAGCTATCAACGTGGGCGAAACTTCTGGACATCGAGAACGAAAAATGCACCCAGGATGTAGGCTCATGGTGGTTCATCGCCTATGAGGCTATCATTCGGGCCCCCATGCAAATTGCAGAGTCCGGTCAGATGGAGATGAGCGAGCACGTGCAGGAGATTACTGCTACGTTGGAGCAGTTCTTCAACTCGACGACCCTGGGACAGTACAGTGAGCGCCTTCAACTTGTCAAGAATTTCCAGTCTCTGCTCTTGCTCTATGTCCAGGATATGCCGGCTTTGAAACAGCTTATCTCTGCTTTGGACAACTTCATTGTGCGCTACAAGCAATTCGAGCCTATTGTGCACAAGCAACTGGTGGAGAAGCGGGCAGCCCTCGAGAAGGATATCAAGGAGCAGATTCAGCTGGCTAGCTGGAAAGATACCAATATCGTCGCACTCAAAGAAAGTGCACGCCGGTCACACACCAAGTTGTTTAAGCTGGTCCGCAAATACCGGGAAGCCCTGGGGCAATCGGCGCGACCCATTGTGGAACAGGACATGCCGGATAATAACGATGACAGCGGAGTTCCCCAAAACGATGTTGTCATAGCCTCACGCGTGTTCCCTGAAGCACTCGCAATGTGCCAGAAGGAAGGAGTCTGGACCGATAGACCCCCGCGATTCAAGAACCCTGATGCGACTGCTAGCAGCATGATGCAACTGTATTCCTCGATTCCCGCCGAGTTTGACGTCGCAGAAGATCTCGACAGCTTTGTCAAGTATGTCATCGAGAGTATCCAGGAGTTCAAGTCGCGGACGCCGAAGACTCTCACCGAGGAGAATACAGATGATGTCCAGCATCTCAAGGTCCAGAAGCGTCGTTTCTACGCGGATACCTTGCGACGCCTCATGGATATGGGAGTGAAGCGTAGCGCGAGTACCAGCTTGATTGAAACTCAGGCATCTATTGCACAAATCCTTGCCTCGAGCCCGGCCTTGGAAGCTGACTCTGTGCTGTCGCAGCTGGTAAAGAGTTCGGACTTGTACTACCATAGGTTCTTGGACTTGCTTCCTCGCGTTCGTGTGGCAGCACACAATTATGCGGAAGATCTCAGCAATGTCGAAGTATCCAGGAGTTCTGGGTCTATCGAACACTTGTTGTTCCTCGCCCGGAAGCAGAGAGCGTCGATCTCACCAGCGCTTACTGATCTGACAGCGTTACAGTCGACTCTTTTGAAGGTTTCGAATCTTTGGAATTCTGGCTGCTCTTCTATTTCCAAGGATCACCCACAGTTCCCGATTGAGAGAGTCGAGGTAACGAGGGCAGTGGCATGGCTGACGCCTGTACTTGGACTTGCCGCCACTGTTATTGGTCTGCACGCCAAGTTCTCTGGCATTGATTCGAGAAATATCTTGGACGGCCTGCAGACTTGGAAGGGCACATTAGATCGGTTGAAGACTTCTCTGGGTAATCTTCCTCAGCTGCCACACGGTGTCTCCTCGCAATTGTACAGGGACACTGTCCAGGAGGCTTCTGCATCCCTTGAGCAATTGAGCAGCAACCTCACAAGATGGGCTGAAGAACGTCCTGACCTAACCTTTGTGCTTGGCCAAATAGTTCCTTGGGTGAAGGTCAACTTGATGTCTCCCGACTGTGAACTTGATGAGACCACCGTATCCCTCGAGAAATTCGATGCGGGTCTCATTGCAGCCGTTGACAGAATCCTTGTCAGCCTCCAGAAATTGAAGGAGATTCCTTCCTCGCTTGCCAATCCTGGTTCTCTGGCGCGGAGTGACGAGTTCTTCGTCAAATCTTTGAAGGCCCTTCATATCTCTGGCATCAAATCCTCGCTTGAATCTGTTCTTGATCAATTGCAGCACATCCAGGCTGGCTCAGGTTCTGGCATTCCATTTGCGGTCGCACTTGTGGCGAGCTTGCTGCCTATTATGCACAAGTACTTCCATATCAGCAAAGATGTTGTGGATCGCTACTTGGTTGTACACCGGGAGACTTGCAAAATGTCCTACATTCTCACCAAGTGTTTCGCTCAAATCGCCTCCGAAGGCTTCTGCAGTCCCGCAGAAGCATCTACGGAGGAGAGCAAATCCGGCAAGCTCGAGAGCGGCACTGGCCTGGGAGAGGGTGAGGGTGCTGAAGACATCAGCAAAGATGTTGGAGATGACGAGGATCTGTCGGAGCTTGCCCAGGAGCAAAAGGGCGAGTCTACCGAGGACCTCGAAAACTCAGAAGACGCAGTGAACATGGACAATGAGGAAATGCAGGGCGAAGAAGGCGAGCGGAAAGAAGGCGACGAGGAAGACAATGAAAGCGGCGACGAAGAGGAAGATGGCGACATTGACGAGGAAGTCGGCAGTGTTGATGATCTCGATGCTACGGCAGTTGATGAAAAGATGTGGGACGGTGAGCACGACGACAAGCAGAAGGAGACCGAGACCAACGAAGGCAAGGGTCAGGCCGAGTCCGACGAACAGACGGCGGCAGAGGAGAAGAAACAGGAGAAGGAGAAGGAGAAGGCTCAGGAAGGCGAGCAGGGTGAGGTGGACGAGAACGAGGAGGAAGAAGAAGATGAGGAAGGTGAAGATAAGCCTGATGATGAAGGCGAAGCCGTGGGACGTGAGGATATGGATGTGACCGATCCTCAGGCGAAGGAAGAAGAGGCCCTGGACCTTCCGGACGAAATGCAACTCGACGGCGAAGAGAAGGGCGAAGAAGAGAATGAGAGTGACGATGGCCTTGACGGCATGGATGACGATCTCCCCCCTCTTGAGGAGAATAATGAGCAGCAAATGGACGGCAAGGATGTTGGCGAGGATGAGGCCATGGAGGAAGGAGAAGGCGCCGAGGAACAGGAGCCCGAGCAGACGGAAGAGGGCATGCCGGACGAGGAGGCCGCCGAGACCAATGAAGGCGAGGGCAATGACGAGGCGGACGAAGCCGGTGAGGAGGCTGAAGAGGAAAAAGAGGACTTCCTGGCCCAGCGCGACGAGAACGAGATGGCTGGAGAGGAAGTGGCTCCTAGTGAAGCGGTCAATGGTGGCCTTGGGGCTGATCAAGATCAGAACCAAGAGAAGGGCGCGTCTGGTAACGCACAGCAGGAGAACGGCTCAACTGATCCTTCCGACCAGAAGGAGCAGCAGACCGGTGCAGCCCAAGAGGGTGACGAGAACCAAAGGCACCAAGAAGAGGGTGGCGCGAATGATGCAAACCCAGACGACCCTCAACTACAGGCGTTCAAGAAGCTGGGTGACGTTCTCGAACAATGGCACCGCCGCCAGAAGGAGATCATGGAATCCTCCAAACAAGAAGAGGGCGAGACTGAGGAGCCCATGCCCCAGGACGCCGACATGGCCGACGCTGACTTTGAACATCTCCGCGATCAAGACGACGTGGCAGACACCCAAGCTCTGGGTCAAGCCAGTGAAGAACAGGCGAAGGCTCTGGACCAGAACAAGGGAGTCGAGTCGGACGTCAAACCCGAAGGCAACGACGTGCTACCGGATGTCACAGACGACGACCAACAGCAGCTCCCAGACAACAAGCTCGAGGACGAAATGCAGCTGGATCAGGGTCTTCCCTCCGAGTCACAGATGGCCGGTGCCATGATTCCTGGCAACACCCACACCCAGGAACGGACCACGGACACTACCGGTCAACAAGAACTGAACGAGGAGCTGGATGAAGTCGACGCCCATCTCGCTGCCATCCACCTCTCTTCCAACCTCCCTCCCCTGACCCCCCGCGACGAGGCCCAACGTCTCTGGTCCTACTACGAATCAGCTACCACCGACCTCTCCCTCTCCCTGACCGAACAACTCCGCCTCATCCTCGCTCCTACACTAGCCACCAAGCTACGCGGCGACTTCCGCACCGGAAAACGTCTCAACATCAAGCGCATCATCCCCTACATCGCCTCCCAATACAAGCGCGACAAGATCTGGATGCGCCGCTCCATCCCCTCGAAGCGCAACTATCAAATCATGCTCGCCGTTGACGACAGCAAGTCCATGCTCGAAAGCGGCAGCGGCCAACTCGCCTTCGAAACCCTCGCTCTGGTAGCCAAGAGTCTCAGCATGCTAGAAGCCGGCGATCTCTGTGTCCTCGGCTTCGGCAACGAAGACCACGTCCGCGTCGCCCACGAGTTCGGCAAGCCCTTCTCCTCCGAGGCCGGCACCCAAGTCTTCCAACACTTCAGCTACCAGCAAACCGGCACGAACGTGCGCAAGCTCATCGCCGACTCCATCGCCCTCTTCCGCGAGGCCCGCTGGAAGCAGTCACCCGGTAGTGGAAACGCGGACCTCTGGCAGCTGGAGCTGATTATCTCCGATGGTATCTGTGAAGACCACGAGACTATTCAACGGCTGGTGCGCCAGGCGCAGGAGGAGCGCATTATGATTGTGTTTATCATTGTGGATGCTGTTAAGGGTAGCTCGATCTTGGATCTGAGTCAGGCGAGCTTTGAAGATGATGGTAGTGGAGAGATGAAGTTGAGGATGAAGAGATATCTAGAGGGTTTCCCGTTCCCTTATTACCTTGTTGTTAGAGATGTCAGGGAGTTACCGGCTGTTTTGGCCACGGCGTTGAAGCAATGGTTTGCTGAGGTGGTGGATGTGTCGTCTTGATTTATTGATTTGTTGTTTGATTAGATAAAAGTTAGCATGTTCTGTTTTATAATGGTTTAGATGTATATACGGCCTTTAGTGTATCTAGAATATTTCATTTATTGCATCTATTTCCTTAACTTCCCGGTTATGATTGGTAGTTCCACCATCTCATAGGATTATCTGGCTATATCAACTACTATTCTAGTATCCAAAGCAGTACTACCATCAACAAACTCCATACAATCATAAACTCCGTCCATGCAACCCCCACCCCACCACCAACTTCACTACACTACATACGCAACACTATACACACACCCATACCCTATGAAAGTAATCACCACCCATACCTCGCCCCCGCCTCCTTCTTATTCCTCCTCCCAGCAGCAAAGCTCTCCTCCAACGCCTCACGCTGCGTACTCGCCGCATTAACCAACTGCTGCAGCGTATGTTTACCCGGCGCAATCGCCCTGACAGGGTTATGTTGCTGCGCTGCCAGCTCCGTATGCGCCAGCTCCTGGTTCGTAACGTACTCCTGGTCCGTGTTGAAGTGCAGGACGCGGGAACTGGCCGCCACGGATTCCGGCGCGTTGCGGCCGAAGAGTTGGCGCCGTTGCGCTTTTGAGAGGTTGAGGTCGTCGGCGATGGTGCTGAGTGTGTTGTTGTTGTTGTCGGACGTGGCGGTTTGGTATGTGGGTTGCTGTGCTGTGGTGGTGGTATCTTCAGGGGCGGGGGAGGGCCCGGCGGGAGCGGAGTTGAGGGGGGCGTAGACTAGGGGTTCGTAGGTTGTTCCTGTGGTGGTGGCGGTGGTGGTAGGTGTAGAGTTGTCGTCGTTATCGGCGGAGAGGGAGAAGAGGCTGATTTTGGGTTTTGGTGGTGGTGCAGCAGCAGCAGCAGCAGCAGCCGCCGCCGCCGCCGCCGCCGCCGCAGGCGTAGATGTAGATGCAGATGCAGATGTAGACGAAGCTGCCGTCGGCCCATCCTCCTTCCTCCGTACAGCCGCAGCAGCGGGCATGAGATCCGATACAGCCTTCCTCTTCTTCTGTTGCGACGCTCTCCCCACAGACAAGGGCTTGAACATCATCGGGTTTCCCTTCAACTTGACCTCCTCTGGCTTTTTCATCTGCGGTACAACCTCCTCTCCTCCCCCATTCTTGTCCTCATTCCCAAAATCCAGTTCCTGATCCCTCATACTCCCCGCCTTGGGTATCGTCTCATCCTCATCTCCATTACCGCCTAACGCCCCAAACGCCCGCTCATTCCGCATCTCCGCATCCGCCTCGCGATCGAACCCCGGCGCTGCGCCCGTCTTCAAGCTGAATATCTTGCGCGCGGGCGCTTTTTTCTCCGTTGCGCTGTTGCTGGCGGTAGTAGTTGTGGTTTTCTTCGGCGCAGGTAGGAATGAATTGAAGCCGGAGAATGCACCGCCGCCGCTGCCGCCTAGTTTGGGTTTCTTGCGCGGGTTATCGGTGTCATCGTTGTGTTCGGGTTTGATGTCTGGTAATGCGACGCGGATTTTGCGGGGGTTGGTGCGGTCGACGAGTTTGTTGTTGTTGCTGGTGTTGTTGGTGGTGGTGGTTGCGGTAGTAGTGGTGGGTTTCTTCGGGGCTTGTTGGGGTTGAGGGACGGTGGTTTCGGGCTCTGAGTCCGAGGCTTCGGAGTCGGAGTAGGCGACGAGGGCCATGGTTGGTAGGTAGAATTTGGTCGTGGGTGTGATGTGATGGTTGAGAGGGAAGAAGTTGGATGGGTTGGAGGCTTGAAGCTGCGGCGAAGTGATATTCTCGGGTTGGGCGAGATTGCGGATGAGTTATGTTTGAGATTAGTAAGCTGTGCAGGGTTCGGTGCAGTGGGTTGACGCCACGATCGATGGGGTTTGGGGGTTAGTATAAGAGGTAGAGGAAACTATGGGCGTGTTAGTCTCTCTAGTGACTATTTAGTAAATGATAACAGTATTATGAATGGGAAAGGGAGGTAAGAGCAATGACATCATCAACGATATAGAAATATTCAAGATCAGATAAGATAAGATCGGCTTACTCAGGTCCCTCGAAATGTCGCGCCTTCCAATCAATCACTTTCTCTGCACCATCTACATCCTCATTCACCATACACTCTTTCTTTTCTAGACAATTTTAAACAACCTCTACACCCAGCGCAATGCTTTAACACATACGGACTATACACCACAACCTCAGAACAACGTTGTATCCCAACCCACATCATCCATACCACAAAAATGACTACCTCACCACCAGCACAACCCCCCGACACAACCACAACCACACCTACACCAGACACCACCACCACCAACGCACACGCCCGCCCCACGAAATTCCGCTTCAAAGACCCCTCCCGAAAGCGCCATCGCCACCACCACTCCTCCCACTCCCACTCCCACTCCTCCCACCAGCGCACCCCCTCCCCGAAACGCAAAAAACACCGCGCCCCCCACCGCCGCAAGCACACCACCTCACCACCTCCCTCCCCATCACAGCCCACATCTCGCTTCTCTCCTAGCACCGCCTTCCGAGAATCCCTCTTCGACGCGCTGGGCGACGACGAAGGCGCAGCATACTGGGAGTCTGTATACGGCCAACCGATCCACACATACTCTGTGCCGGAGGTACCGAAGGGCCCAAATGGCGAGCTGGAGATGATGGACGAGGAGGAGTACGCGGCGTACGTGCGTCGGAAGATGTGGGAGCGGACGAGGGAGGGGATGCTTGCTGAGGAGGAGAGGATGAGGGAGGAGAGGAGGAGGGTGAAAGAGAAGGAGAGGAGGAGGGATAGGGAGAGGGGGGAGTGGGAGAGGGCTGTGGAGGAGAGTTTGAGGAGGGGGAGGGAGAGGAAGAGGAGGAGAGGGTGGAGGGGAGTTTGGGGGAGGTATTGTGCTTGTTGGGGAGTATTGGATGGGGTGGTTAAGGAAGGGGATGGAGGGAGAAAGTTTGAGGAGGTGGTGTTTTGGCCGGTTGAGAGTGGGGAGAGGAGAGATGTGGGGAGGAAGGAGGTGGAGGAGTTCATGAGGGAGTGTGCGAGGGTGGTTGATGAGGAGGACACGGATAAAGATGAGGGTGGTAGGGGGTTGCTGGGTCTCTTGAAGACGGAGAGGGTGCGGTGGCATCCGGATAAGATTCAACATCGGTATGGCAAGTTGGGGATTGATGAGCGAGTGTTGAAGAGTGTGACGGAGGTGTTTCAGATTGTTGATCAGATGTGGAGTGAGGAGAGGAAGAAAGGAAACCAGTAGATGGGTGATTGAGGTTTATTATACCCACTGAGTTCTTTTGATGTATACTGTTTGGTTGGCGTTCATTATGATACCCTACTATGTACTTTGTTTACTAGGTTGGTCGTCAACTTTTCGCGTTGCAAGGAAGCAAGCAAGCTCATAGATAGATACAACTGATATAACGCGACACGGCTATGCAAGGATAAATGACACATTTTCTGTTCTGTTTCTGGTTCTGTTTCTCTCTCAATCTCCTCATTCTGCCACATCTAGAACCGCGAGTAGCGGTGCTTGGTGCGGTACGCAGTGTACCCAACATAGCCTCCAACAACCACAGCGAAGAACAGAACAGTCTTAAACAGGAACCATCCCCAGCTGCCCTTCTGCTTACGGCGCTTGACACGACCAGTGTCACGGCCCTTGCCCGAGCGGGAACCGCTGCCACTGCTGCCGCTGCCGCCACCAACGCTGTACAAGTTCTGGGCCTTGACAGAGATAATGTCGTGGTTGTCGCTGAGCTCACCAGTCTCGGCGGAGAAGCCCAGGTAGGCGACGGACGGGATGGCGATGTTGTACTCGGGGGCGGTCAGCTCGAAGCAGGGGATCCAGCTGTCCTCGGACTTGTACTGCAGGTCCAGGGTCAAGGACTTGTCCTGGAAGTAAGTCAAGCGGGCCTTGGTAGGGATGGAGGCACCACGGAGACCACGAGCCTATACCAGTCGTTAGATTAACATTGACACCACCACTGCATACCACACTTACAGAACAGCCAGCCAGTTCATTAGCCTTTCCATCGTGAGCCTGGTCGTAGGTAGTCTGGCCGTCGCCCATCATGGCCATGACGTAGGGGAACGAAGTGCCGGGACGGTTGTTCTTGTACGTGTCGAAGAAGATACCCAAACCCTCGAAGTTGTCCGTCGAACCGAAAACAGGACCCTGGGTGGCGCGCTGCTTGGTGAGCCACATGGCGAAACCATCGCCGTGCAAGTTGCCGGATCCTTCGATCTTGAATTCAACCTCGATCTACACATATCAGAACCATCCTAAGCCCACAGAAAGCGCATCAACTAACCTCCCAGTTCGTCGCGGTCAAAGGCACACGGGAGAAGATCCATCCCTGCTGCGACGGGCGATCGGACGTAAGACGGATATATCTAGGAAGTCAATCAGCATAAGCTCTCTCCCAATCCCTTTTCCCCACAAGCCAGGCGAGCATACTTGTCGGCGCGAACTATCGTGTCACCACCAAAATCGAACCAGCGGCTTTGGAAGTCGGAATCCAAGTATGGCTGCAAAGACATTAACATGATGCGCGAGCTTAGCTGTAGCTATAAGCTACGTACCGGTGAAAGACTGTGCGTGCGAAGCTATCCCCAACAGTTAGCAGCTCATCCTATGACCAGAGACAGCAGCATACACACCGGAATGCTCTTGACATTGTCATCACCATCGTAGGCGCTGGCCAGAGGCACGCTGGCCAAGCCAGCCCAGCACAAAAGGGACGAAAGCCGCGGAAGTAGCATGATTGCCGAGGAACAAGCGCACAGTAAACCTTTAAGTAAGATTCAAGCCAAGCGACCGTGCAAGAAAGATAAGTGTAGGTGTGGTGAAAAGATAGACTGCAGCTAATAGAGTAGGCGATATCGTCAATTGTCACCGGGACATCAACAAAACCAGGGTGAGCGGGGGATTTCAATTGAGTAAATAGAAGAGAGCTAGATCCGGGAAATGGAGGTGTGAAGGAGGATAAATGAAAGAACGAACACCGAGGGAACTTTAGTCAACGAGAAAGAGGAAGAAGAAGAAGAAGCGGAGAGGAGGGGACAGATCAGAGATCGACGCAAGAAAGAAAGCCGAGTTATAATATAACTTAGCTGGGCGATGGGAAGGAAGTGTAGAACTCCAAGTGTCCACATCTGCTCGGGGCGGTGGCGCAGCAACCTTACTTTCCTTTTTCCTTGTGGCTCACTAGCCACACCTCCGTCGGAGCTCAAAAGATCTTGTCTCATCGACTGCTATATACTGCATACTACGTATTGCATCCATTTACCACTTGCATTATCCCACAACCACGACCCTAACATCTCTATTAAACACTATTCACACACACAACTAAATTTCACAATGGGTATCTTCGGCGGTTCTTCTTCCCCCTCCACCGACTCCTCCAGCAAGGAAGTCAAGGAGGCCCTCTTCAAGCAGGTCCAGGCCGAGTCCGCTATGAGCAACGCCCGCACTCTGATCTCGGTACGTTACATCCTTGACCGGGAGATCATAATTTCATAATTGTGCTAACATACTTGTTTCCTCTAATAGAACGTCAACGAACACTGCTTCGAAGCCTGCGTTCCCAATCCCGGAACCTCCATGTCCGCCGGCGAACAGGCCTGCCTGACCGACTGCATGGAGAAGTACATCGCCTTCTGGAACACCGTTAGCCGCACATATACCCGTCGCGTGGGCACCGAGCAGAAGAGGATGCTTGCGCTGTGATCTGCTGTCATATACACTCTTCTTTGATATCCGTGCTTGGTTGGGAGTGGTCCATTTCTCTGCCATGTGTTTGGCCATGTTGTGATCCGATCTAGAGGTCTCTTTCAATGACTGGTGTGATATGCGGCAGTGGCCACTGGTGTGATGATATTTGTGTGTATATTATACGGACGGACGGTTTTGATTCGGGCTGCCGGTGGCGTTTTGAAAAGATAGAGCCTTGAATGGCCGGCTATGCTTATGATGACACTGTTGGGGGACCAGCGTCCAATTATCCAAGACTACTTTTATTGCAATGGCCAAATCAAATATGTACATTATACAACTGCCTCCACAGGGACAGGGAAAGGGATAACAGGAAAGATGACATCAAGAATGACCCAGAGTGGCTCCCCAGTATTTGCACAATATGACTATAGAATAAGCAGGAGAAATGGAAAAAAGAAACGGGTGCCGTGGGTGACCAATTCACCAGTCAACGGTCGGCATAATCACGAGGACCCCCCGAAGCTTCCAGCACAAACACCACCGCAAACACCCTCCTGCCTGGCATAACGCGAAGAAATATAGACAATGCCCACCTAGATAAAATCACCGGGGGATCATCTACTCATCAGATCTCCCCGGAACTAGTATAAGGGTAAGCTTATATGCAGACCACCAACAGTCCGGAAATCGGAAAAGCAAACAGACAAGACCATCGCGTATACTTGAAAGATGGTAAAGGCATACGCTGAGGATGACAGAGCTCTTCGATGTATGCTCTACGTCAAAGGCAGCCAAAAAGCAAGTCGGCCAGCGATCAAAAACGAAGACAAACCGACGTCAAGGGGACATCAACGAATGGTGAAGCGGATGCTACCGTTGGTAGCGCGAGGGAAAGGATTAGCGAGATAGTCCTGTCTTACAGGGCTCGCAGGATCATCGGATGGCACGATGCCATCTCGGTAGCGAGACAATCATTCCATCATAACTCATAGCACACACTAAAAGTCTGGGAACAAATGGCCGTGTCTGAAGAAGAGAAAAATGAGTAATGTGTTCGTCATAGAATAGAAAGGGTTGAGAAAGGAGCACATACGGGTCTTCACCAGCCATGCCATACTGTTCAGTTTCTTCCGGATAGCGGTCGTACTGACTCGCGTCTCCTTGACCACCGCGGATGGGAGGCACGTAAGGAGCGTCAATATCTTTGCGGGCCAAACGGTCCCAGGTGACCTCGGCAAACCAAGGATGATTCTTGACATCATCGGATCCGCCATGGAGGTTTCCAAGGCGCTTGGTCAGATCAGCCGTGATGAGTTGCGACAGCAGATCAACAGCGTCCGGGTGCAAGTAGGGCGGGTATTTTACTCTGCCACGCAGGATATTCTCGTAGATCTTGACCGGGGAGCCACTGTCCCAGAAAGGTGTGAAACCACACAGCATCTCAAAGATCAAGATACCCAGGGACCACCTTCGACATTGTCAGTAAATGCGCCAAAGGGGCATGAACATCAATTATGGCAACCCTTACCAGTCAACGGACTTGTTGTAGCCCTTGGAGGAAACCACCTCCGGGGCGAGATAGTCGGGTGTACCACAAAGGGTCCATGTGATGTCAGGCACCTCTTTGGCAAAACCGAAATCGGTGATCTTCAAATGGCCGTGTCGGTCTAGCAGCAAGTTCTCAGGCTTCAAATCCCGATAGATGATGTTCTGCGTGTGGAGGTACTCCAGGGCAAGAGTGACTTCCGCTGCGTAGAACTTGGCGACGGGGTTGGGGAACCGCTACATGAAAAAGAGGTACCAGACATCAGCTTTACGTTGGTCGGGCGGGCCAAGTCAGAATTAACCCACCTGTGACTTGCGGAGCAGACTGAAGAGTTCACCACCCTCTACGAAGTCCATGACCATGTACAAGTTCCGGGAATCCTGCCATGTACCCCATAATGTGATTAGGAATGGATGCCTGACGCGGTTCAGCATGCGGCGCTCATCGTTGGTGTGCTCAATCTGTTTCATCTTGACCACTTGCGCCTTCTTCAACACCTTGACGGCATAGAAGCGGTGGTTATGCTTCGACTGCACCAAGTGCACGCGACCGAAACTACCGGTACCGAGGGTGCGCTGAAGGGTGAAGTCATCCAGAGAGTATTTCCCTTTGGTGGTGCGGGCATCACTGCGAGCGGCGTGGTGAGACTGCGCATGACCGCTGGAAGCCGAATGCATGGCGCCTTGCTGGGAGGGATGGATTATATTCTGTATACTAGCCGCATTGGCATTGGGCTGCGGGAGGCCAGAGGTATGGGCAGACGGCGAGGCTTGCGTCACAGCGGACTGCATGGAGGCTACCTGACCGTCGGAGGATTTGTCTGCACCCGAAGACCGATTGGGCTGTTGTTGAGGAACGGAATTTTGAGGCTGAGCGGGGGGATTCGTAGTAGAGCTAGAATTGGTGGCGGGTTGGGGTTGATGGTGGTGGTGGAAGAGGTGGTGGTGGTGGAAGTGGTTGTGGTGGTCTTCGGCAGCGTTTGGTGACGTCTGCGTCTGGGCCGAACCGGCTTCAAGCTCTTTGGAGAGGGTCTGCGAATCTTTCGTTCGCCGTTTTTTCAGCAAACCTCCTAAACTAGGCATGGAGAAAACGTTGCTGTAGGCAGTTAAGATTAAATGTTAAAGCCCACGATGGTCTTTTTCCACGTGGGGAAAAAATAAGTAAGGGAGAATTAACGATGCGTGCGATAGCCGATCAACGCGACCCCTCTTTAAGAGATGCTCTCAGAGAGGGGGGGGTAAGGGAAAGGAAGCAACACAGTAAGAATAATAATATGGAGAGGGAAAGCGGCGAGCTTTTTCTCTTTGGGACGGGTTCGGGCGCGGATACAGCGGAGCCCCCCAAACAGAACAGAACTGAAATGAACTGGAACAAAACACTGGTCCCGAACGGCGGTCAACGGAAACTCAATTGGACAGACGGGCAACCGTAAGGATGACCGGATAGGAAGGGAAAATATGTAACGCGGGGAGTGTGGGAACCTCTTTGAGAGGATGGGTTGGACTGGGGTGGGAGAGAGGGAGAGAGCAGTATGGCTGGTGTGCGGGAGGATCAATGATAATGATGTTGCTGAATATGAGGGGGAGAAAGAGAGAGGAGAGGAGAAGGAGAGGAGATGAGAGAGAGAGAGAGGGGAGGGAAAGAGATGCTGCAGTGACCACCAGCACTACTACTACTACTACTACTAGCTGAAAAAAAAAATAACTACGAGCACAAGCACCGCAATAATTTATCCTAATTCATTATAATTATTTTCTGATTAGTTTGATGGACAGAGAGAGTGGGAAAAATTAGAGAGAAAAGGGAAAGCAAAGGGAGAGAAAGAGAAAGAGAGAGGAGAGAGGCGGGGTTGGATTGGCGTGAAATCGGCATGAATTGGGCTTAGTGGACAGTGACAGAGAGTCAGTCAGTCAGTCAGTCAGTCAACCATTTCATCAAGAAGGTAAGTAGTTAGTTGTTATTTCCAAATACGCTTGTTATTATACAAGGTTACAACTTGAACTTAACCGAAACAAACTACCCATCTAAAGACAAGTTGATAATTACAACACCTCACCCTTCCCTATGTCTAAAAGCGGTCGGTCGGCCGGCCACAGTCGAAGAAGCTATGCTACTTAACTATCTCCATCACCACTAACTTGTCGACTCCACCCCAACGCTAAAACATACTTTGTCTGGGCCAGTAATTTTCCCACAGTAAAAGAACCGTCAAACAAATAACTGCAGTGGTACCATACATACACTCATCATGACATTGGGAATGATAAGCCTTCCCCAGATACCAAAGTTGCAACATCATCATCTCCTGCTTAAGGCAAAATAAGTAAATGAACCCACCGGGTCCAGCCGATCTCACCTTCTCGATCCATGGACCCTTCAATTGCTACATTATCATCAATGATGCATTCTTTCCACTCCTTCTCGCTTATCGAGATCCATGTTTCCCAAACTTATTTCCGGGTTCCGGGTTCAGATTCGCCCCGATGAGGTCATCATCAAACACTGTTTTCAGATCTCTCGTGTGTGTGTGGCTTGGAATTCCGAAACGAGGAGCCTCCTACTACTACTTAGTACTAGTAGGTAAGAGAAGCTGGGAAGATGAAACTGCTGGTGCAAAACCAACCACTCTCCGTACTTTTCTTTCTTACGGTTGAAGTATTTATCTATCTATGATATATGCAAACTGTCGCTACTTTTAAAAACCCAAACAACATGCATGTTGGGCAGCTGGCAGCTGGCAGCTCAACTACTAGTTAACTAGTTAGTTAATTGCTTACCGCTGAAAGATGACTTCATCACCGCCCCGGTGGATCCTCCAAAAAAGGCGAGTGGAAACCGCCCCGCCTTCGGGGCATTTGGCTTGCCCTTTGTTGAAGGCTTGAAGCCAATCAAGCTGCCCCCTGACCGGTCAGGAATTCCCCCGTCCGGCGGCCTCCTGGTTGGTCGGGAGGCTTCACTATGAACTGATCTTGACGCTTGCATCCACTTAATCTACTTTAGCACCTGAGATACCACAGTTAGTGTACACGCTACGGATGGGATGCGCACCGCCATTATCAATAGATGCTATCTCCGCGAATTTGTGTATGAAAGAAAAAGTCTGTTCCAATTGTTGTTGATTCCCCCCGTAGCCTTGGCTCCATGCTGCTGCAAACTTCAAATCCAACCCGAAAGCTGCCCGGCCTTATGTACTCCTACCTAGTAGCAAAGATTGCAACGCCGCTCCCTCCAAATATTGGTCAGAGGGCTCGCTTCCACTTCTCGGTTCCTTATAAAACAGCAAGCAAATAACAATAGCAATGCGTCCCTTAGATGCGATAATGCGCCATGTTCTTCTTGATCTCGTCCACGATTTCCACCGCTTCCAGCGCATTGCGTGCCTCAAAATCATACCGCTTCTGCTCGTTGGCATCGTTGCCGCGCAACACCACCACCCGGAAATTCTTCGGGTGTCGCCGGCTCACCTTGCATCCCACGACATCGTTGAAGCTGATCGACCGCGTCTTGGTGTCCGACGCTGTCTTGCCCGTGTCCGCCGGCATGATATGCATGTAATCGTTGTCAAACGTCAAGATCCGGTGGTTGGATTGCGTAAAGCCCATGGATTGTTTGCGCCAGACGTAGTACCGCCGGTAATATCCCCCAATGAGATCTTGCTTCTGCGTGAGCGGGTGTAGCATGCGCTGTCCGCTCTTCTTCCCCTTCTTGCTGGGCGCGCTGGTGCTGTCGATGAGGAGCGGCGCGTTCGGGGAGGAGCTGCCCGGGGAGCCCGTCAGCGACTGCGGCCCGAATCGTCGGCGCACCAGGTCCAGCTCCGTGATATTGCCCAAGGCTTCCACGGTGCGGTCTAGCGGTGCGATCGTATTGGAGCCCATCACCTTCAGTAGATAGTTCCCCTTGTCTAGACCCCATCGCTTGCACACCGAATCGAGGATCTCGGCGATGTAGCTGTCGGTAGACGTGTTGAGCGTCGTCACCTGGGTGGACGCTTCCACATTGATGAACCGGATTTTCAGGGTCTTTGACACCCCCAGGCGAGGAGTGGCATGGGACGTGGGCACGGCAGGCCGATCCGCGGGTGTTAGTGTATTGTCGTTCAAAGCCGACGAGAAGGGTTGTCCCAAAATCGGGTTCGGGCGAGGTGCCTTGCTTTGCGGGACCGGCTGGCTTGTTGGGGCACTCGTCGGTGCAGGTGCCTCTCCGCTATCCTCAGAAGCAGCTGTCTGGCTGAATTGGGGGAATTGGCGCTCGTTTGCTTCGAATTCCGCCTTCGATGCTTCGACTAGCGCGAATTCATCATACTGTTTCCCCCGAGTCCGTCGACCAGCGGCCCGATTGTTATTCGAGGTAAAGTCGGCAATTGGCGATGTTCGACCTAAAGCGGGAAAATCATATTCGACTTCGCCATCTTCCACCATTCGCAGCGTCCACATGTTCACGGTAAGCTTGCTGCGCTCAACAGCCGGTTCGCGACCTTCTTCGCTGTATCTCCAAAGAGCTAGACCGATTGCTTCGACAACTGTTACTGGTGCAGGCTGCTCTGCAAGTTTGGACTCGCGCGCAATTGGCAAATCGAGTGGTTCATCGGGATCGGCGGAGAATGGTAGGTAGAGTTTGATGTTCAGGACATCGGTCAAGCCCTTGCCTGAAAGCACCGCGAACTTCTCCACCGGGTTCGTCGGCGCTTTCTTGCGCGCATTAAGTGCCTTGGAAAGCAAACTAACTGGTTGGACAGTGCTGATTGGCCGCGGAGGTGGCAGATCTTGGAGCTCTGGTGCTGGGGTTCTGGGTTTCCTTGGGGATGCCGTCTGTGACCCCGTGCCATTCTGCAACTTGTGCATCAGAGCAACTGGCGATGATGAATCCAAGCTACCAGTGATCCCAACCCCTGCAAGTAATGACGCAGAACCCGTCGTTGCGTCGAAATCAGATGACAGGGCCGAACCCACAGATTCAGCTCCTGAGTCCTCGGCTTGCTCATGAAGTTCTTCCAGGTCTCGAGGGCCCGGTGGGCCATTTCTCCTTCTCGCAGGTTCTATGACCTGGTCATGGCTAGAGAACGAGATCTGACGCCTTCTGAAGGCAGATGCATCCAGGTCATTGTCCGAAGATATGTCACTGCTGGCTGTAGTCGTAGTATCGCGCCGCGGCCGCTCATTTATGCTGCTAACAGCTGTTCCCAATGACCCAGTACGGTAATGGGTACCCATTGTTGGATGCGATGGAGACGTGACCATAACCTGAGGGCTTTCCTGGCGGTCTGATGAGCGTATGGGTGAAGATCCGGCTCTTGTTCGTATGGGCATCTTCGTGAACTTGATCTGGTTCGCAGCACTATGAATTGTGAGCATAAGGCTGCACAGGCGGGTCCTCTGCATCCCTTGAGCCAATTGACTCACCTTCGAGCACTGTCCCCATCATCGTCGCTCTCATCACTCAGGTCACTGCTGTCATCATCCTCCGCTTCTCTATGTTTCTGTTGCTCATGCTGTTGTCGTTCCCTCCGGTGGACTCGTTTTCCGCGGTTTCGACGCCCAATCAACTCCGTATTGGTCTTCCCAGTCACCATTCCCCCTTCGTCATCGTCGCCTTCATCCACCAGGCCGAATCTCTGCGCATCGTCTCGGGCAACACCCAACTGGTAATATTCCGAGGTAACCGCCGTAGTCGTGGGGATTGGGGGTGAATTTGTCCGCTTAATGTGAGCAGCCGCGCTCTGCGTATTGGGGTTCGTAGAAGCCGAAGACCAGCCAGCTGCGCGGAATCCTGGCGTGTTGAGCACGGTGTTGTTCACGTTGATAAGCCTGTCGCCTATGCCGTCCTTTATGGTAGACAGATAGGAAGTGCGCAACTGCCAGATTGTGAAACTGCGATCGGGATTAGTTGTTGACCTAATACTGCATGTGTGCGATTACCGGGGGAGATGAGGGGAGGGGGGGACGCGAGATGGTCGCGGGGTCAGACACCTACTCTTCATTGTGGAGAAGAGACATGGTTACAATCGCTGCAAGAAAAGAGATGAGTAGTAAGAGATAGAGTAGGCCTCGTCACAATCACGGGAAAACGACCATTTACGCCAGGAAGAGCGAAACCGCTGTCGGGATTCGAGTGGGCATGATCTCCGGGCTGGTGCAACAAGGGGAAATGGATGGATGCGCTGAACTGGAGCAGGCCGAAAAAAGAAGTAGTAGGAAAAGAGAGCGACCGTGGGATGTGAATGCAGGACCAGCCTGATGGTAAGAAA